CACGCGCAACTGAATGCCCAATAGAGATAAATTAAATGCACATCAACATTTGGGAAAATGCACAATATAGCAATAGTGTAATTTAAAATTATTCACGTGAGTCATTGCACATAATATACTGTTACGCCAATATGCATTATGTTGCAAATTAATGTGAATTTTGTCTAAAGATTGTGCAGTATGTAGCACGATATTTTTAATGTGCATAACTATACGAATAATGTGTGTTTTGTGTATCGTTATCGTGCATTTATCAAAATTACATGTATTTCAAGTAATATTAATTGTACATTTATCGAAATATTTATATTACCAAAATATAATTAGTAGTTATAATTTTTTTTATTTAATGTCTTTTATTATTTTTTTATGGAAAACAAATAATATATAAGTATAGATAAAATATAGAGAAAAAATTATATAGCTCGGTCCAATACGTACCATTTTTTTTACAAGCCGTAACCAAATCGAAATAACTGAAATTTTAATATATGTGAAAATGCATACTAGCATACCAATATTTGGAGGAGAAGGACCGCAGGATGATTCGAGACCTGCATGCGATGTTGGTTAAGGCCAACGTCGGCCTATCTCCACCTGACGTGATCAAGAAGATACCGGCGTATGCGAGATTTTTCAAAGAATTTGCAGAAAATAAACGGAGGCTCGAGAGTAGTGATGAGGTGCTCGTGTTTGAAGGGGCAAGTATCTTCCAGCATAAATTGTCGAAGAAAGAAAAAGACCCCGGAGGCTTTGTGATCACTATAGCCTATGGGAATGGGGAAAAGACCTCGTGGATACTTGATCTAGAAGCATGCATTAACCTCATGCCACTCACAGTTTATCATCGGCTCGGGCTTAAAGATTTGAAGCCCATCAGGATGTGCTTACAGCTTGCAGATCGCTCGTTCCGTCACCCCAAAGGGATTGTGGAGAATGTGCTCATCCGAGTGGAGAAGCTGATATTCCCTATGGAATTTGTCATGGTTGATGTGGGGAACGTGCAAGAGAACGGTAAGTAGCACGCCATCCTCCTCGGACGACCCTTTATGGCGACAACCAGCATGGTTATTGACGTGAAGAAGGGAACAACGAACATGACCGTGTTGGAGGAATCTACCCTCATTTCCGTCGGAGAGACTCGGCCTGAGCCAAAAGTGAAGTTTGTGGCAGATTGTGCGTACCTTAGGGCGATTGAGCAGCTCACTGAGGACGCGTGCATGTGAGAGCACGCTAAAGGTCATTGTAGGGCAGTGTTTGTGTTGAGAAAGGATGCCACACCAACCGCCACACTACCCCTCCCCAGCCGAGTTTCAAAGAGCTACCACGATCTGAATGGGGCGAGAGATTTGAGTTGATTGAGGCCCACAGCTGTTCGGGGCCTGACTACCACCACCCTCCACCTGCACCACCGGATTCACAGTGACTCGTCTAGTCATTGTGCCCTGTACGTCTGTATTTTTCCTTTCTCTTTATTTTCATCTTTGGTTTAGTGTCTTTGTTTTTTTTTTTTTTTTGGTTGATTATGTGGGTAAACTTTTCTTGCACTTATGGTCGACAACGGGGACATTGCTCGGTTTTAAGTGTGGAGGGGTTTTGCATGATTATGTGTCTACGTATTTGTCCAGGTCTAGGTCTTTTAGGTTGTTTTTATCTGCTTTCGTTGAGTGTCTAGTCAGTTTGTGTGTTTTGCGAGTATGGATTATGGTGAATTTTAAGATTGGTTGATGATTGTTGATGGTGTTGAAAAGATGTGATGATGATCATGACTAGTATGCCTTGATGACTTGATTTGTCGTTTTGATTGGACATTTATTTACCTTATGCGAGGTTTGAGCCTTATATTGTTTCTTGAGAGATATTGGTCGGAATCTTTGGTGATCAGAACTTGCTTTGAGTCTGTTTTGAAATGAATTGATTGAAATAATGATTTGTGAAAATGATTGAGGCATTTATTTGACATTGCTCGTTTTAGCTTTTTTCATTGGCCATTGAAATTATATTTTCATTAGTAGCTCGTTGAGCCTTAAACCATATTTCTTGTTAACTGATTCGATTGAATTATTTGAGATTTGACAGTGTACTTGTTATGATGACGGAACTTTATAATATGTGTTTGGAGAAGGTTTAGAACTTTTTTGAGTTGTATTTTGAGTGCTTGAAAAAAAAAAAGAAAAAAAAAAGGGAAACTCGCAGGATGGACGAAAAAGATTCTACTACGCTTACTTGTTGAATTTTTTTCACGAGTAATGAGTATCGGGAAACCACTCTAGGACACTTGGATGACCTTCAATGTTTATACCTAGAGAATGTCGTTCTTACGTCTCAGTCTTGTTAGGAAAAAAGCAAACCCTCTATATATATATATATATAACAAAAGAAAGTCGAGTACTTAATTTGCATTTCAGCTTGAGCATGTGTGAGTAGTGTATGGAGTTTTTTGCAGGAATGATTAACTTCATGAGGATTATGGATGGGTGGCAGGATATTAAAGTATTTATGTGCTCGCGAGTGCGAAGTTTATTTGAGGCACTTTATCTTTATATTTGTCATTCCCTTGATCAATTCCTTCACTACAACCCCGAAAGTCCTCTTGATTTACATATTCATGAACTTTGATTGTTTTAGATTATGAATAGACAATAGACAAGCTTATGTTGAAACATGATCTCCGGCCATTTTGAGCGTACCCATTTAATTCATGCAAGAAACTGAGTGAGGCATATATGTATTATATTTTCGTGCTTGAGAGTTTGTCTTTTCAAAGCGTAGCATTCGAGTTGTAGTTGAGGTATGCATTATTGGTCATTGAAAGTCTCCTCGACTAAGTTGATTAATTTGAAACTTTTCTTATTTGAAATTGTTGTCCATGCTCGTTTGCTTGTTTTCGTTTCTTTTCTTTTCTTTTTGTTCGGGACGAACAAAGGTTAAAGTGTGGAGGAGTTGTTTGTCTCATTTTTATTGCATTTTTCGTTGTCTTTTTGCCTTTTTTTTTCCCCCATATTAGGTTTTTTAGATGGTTTTTATTTCTTTTTATAGTTTATTTTGTGTTTTTCTTGGTTTTAGCTTCTTCGATGTTCTAGTTTGTTTTTCTGGATTTCTACGTTTTTCTCATCTTGAGTGGTGTGCAAGTTAAATTTCTTGATCATTTTTGATATGGGGGAGGAAATTGTTTTGGTAAGCACAATTTTGTAGAAGGGTTTGTTGGCATCACACAAGAGAAAACAGAATCAAATTTTGATTCCAAACGAGCGTAAACGAGCCCGAGACGTGAAGTCGTGCACAAAAGCTAGCCATCAAGCCCAGCGCAACGCGCGTGCCGCGCCGCAACGCACGCCACGACCTTGATTGAGACTCCCATCATCAAGTCTGTCGCGCCGCGCCAAGACTGCCGTGCCGTGGTGACCACTCCTGCCGCGCCGCGCCGCGCCCGCGCCAGCATGCCGCGCCGTGCCATCTTCTCCATGTCGTGTCGCCTGTTGCCTATATATATATATACATATATGGGATCGATCAGGAAAACATCTTTCTCTCCAGAAAAAACCTAGTTCCCAACGACTCATTTACTCGTTTTTCATACTTTCCTTCATTGTTTTCAACTTAGAACACGGATTTGCACTTGGATTTCGTTGTTTCTTTCGGATTAATTATGTTTATCGGATTGCACTCTCAATTTCGATTTAATCATAAGACTTTTTATTCCTTTAATCCATGAATATGTTTGTCTTTATTTGTGAGATTGTTTGTGTTGAATCATGATTGGCTAAACCCATATGCTAGGGATAGGGGATTAATGTTTTGATTTTGATTGTGATTTTAGTGTTCGTTGATTGTTCTTCTTATGCGTGTTAATCTTTTGAAAGAGTTTTTCAATAATTAAGCTTGAATATTGAGAATTGTTGAAGGGTTCCACTTCAACTTCCAATTGTTTTCAATTGAATTGATTTATTCGTGAATGATGTTGGTGATTCTATTTGATTAGTAGGTTGACCACCCTCTAATCTATCTTAATCGACTCTTATAATCGAAAGGGGAGGAGTCGATCGAAATAGGCTCGCATAAGCTAGGCTTGTTCGTAACTGTATTGCCTAGGTGTTAAGTGACTTGTTAATTTGTCATTCAAATTTGTTTTCTTGTTACGAAGAGTTATTGAGAATGAGTATTTGAACGAGCAGGTCATTCAAATCACTTAACCGATCAATCACTTGCACAATAATTGCAATTCGAACCAAAACGGATATCCTCGACTCCTTATTTTCTTAAATCTTGCTTGTTCGACGTTGTTGATTTGTTATCTCAATTTGCTTTGTTTGATTTTAGTACTTGATAATTAAAAATCAAAATCAATTTTGAAATTAGAATATTTAAGAATTTATTTCTTCTTTTTTAGTTTGAATAAACACGCGAAGTAATTCGGCTAACCTTCTTCGAAAGAAACGACCCGATGTTCGAATCTTTTGATTCTACTCCAATAAAAATATTTACAACAATAACTTTATTGATTTTTAGACATAAAATTTTTGTGTGAAAATAACTCATTTAATATTTTTGTATGGTAATGATGAGAGTAGGAAAAAGTTATGCACGCACATATCTTAAAGTTCACGAAATGATTAAATTTATTTATTTATTTATTTATTTATAAAATTCCTTATTTATTTATTTAAATATGAAATTTCTAAAAATTTAGGGGTCCATGGGGCCCATCCAATTCAATGGATTTTAGAGGGTAATAGTGTCATTCCGGCACAAATACAAATGTACAATGGGTATGGCTATGGGACAAAGCAAAAATCGTCTCTGCAACCAAATTCCCTTTCCCTCCCAACATGGTTTAGCCTTTTAGTACAGCCTATACTCACACGCCTCTCTCTCTCTCTCTCTCTCTCTCTCTCTCTCTCTCTCTCTCCATTACACACTTCATAAAGATCACCCCACTCAATCATCTCTTCACAATTCCACACTGTAAAGATAACCCCACTAACTTCACCGCATACATCATGGAGCAGCCTCAACTTCAGCCCATTTTCAAGCCGCCGGAAACTCCGACGGAGACGATGGAGTTCCTCTCCCGGTCGTGGAGTCTCTCTGCTCATGAAATCTCTAGAGCTCTAGCTCCGCCGCCGGCGTCAGAGCACCGGGCTACCAACAACCCACCAAAATGCGCCGTTCAAGTCGCCGCCCAGACCATACACGAGGACGCCGTCGCCGAGCTGGACGAGCCGCCGGCTCCGGCCGCCTTACTAAGAGACCCCTTCTCGTTTGCTTATTCCGACACTTCTCAGCTCATCATGGAGCGTATAATGTCTCAGTCTGTGAGTGAAACATCGATTCACAAAAATCTGTTCTTTTTTTTATTATTATTTATGTTTCTGTCCTTCTAATTGTTTGTATTTGTCGATTTGGTGAGTTTTCTTGTGTGCTCTTTTCTGTTGCGTGTAAACGGAGGTTGTTTGGAATTATCTGTGGTGCCAAAGCAAAAACATTTATATTCTTGTCCTTATTTATTTTTGACAGATTAAATGAAGGTAAAAAATTGCATTTTTAGTCTGTTTGTTTAATGCAGTTGCATTTTTAGTTTCAATATTTCAACTTTTTGTCTTTTGATAATGTTATTTAGTATTTTGCTACAATTTCTGTTATTCGGAACTGAATTTGCAACAAAATTTTAAATTACATGACTTAAATTGTTAATAAAAATCCATTCAAAAGATTTTTAGTTAGCAATTTAAGTCATGCAATTTTAAGTTTTGATACATTTTCAACTCCGAAGGACTTAAATTGTATAGAATTTTAAAAATATAGGACCAAAAAGCAAAATTGTTCAATTCTAAGTACTAAAAATGCCACTGGATCAAACTAACCGAACTAAAATTACAATTTTTCCAGAAATTAATTACTATCATTTTTGGTTGCAATCTCCCCTATTTTTATATTTCCTTGTGGAGTTGTTTCTCATTATCTTTTACAGTTTTACTAGTTTGATCTTCAATTTAATTTTTTTTTTTTTTTTTT